TACAACATACTGTCACTTTTTATTGTTTGTGAGCTGAACCTTGAGCTTTTCTATAAACAGTCTTTTATGCAGAGTGAAGTTAGGAAACTTCATCCTACCTGGTTTATCTGCAGTGGAGATTTGACTTTTAACATTTTAAAATCTAATCAAACTGAATTTGTTTAATTGCTGTTCACATGTGTGGTTTATATACAAGTTTGAATGACTTTTTCATATATTACATTTCGACTATTCCAGAGGTCTGTTTAGCAGTCATGATAATCTGTGGACGCAAGATCGTAACATTTGGACTGTGGGTGTAAAGCATTGCAGCAAAACAAAACAAACGTGCTTTTACCTTGAAGACAACCTGCTTAGCAATTGCTACGGTGCATTCTCTGGCTCCAAATGATGCCATCTGCCCATAATGGCATATATATTTTTCAGATAGTCATTGTTATCGTTTACTGGCACAATGTTAATTTGCCACCTTCTCCATTTTGAGGTCAGAGGACACCGGCAGGAGCAGAGCAGCAGCAGCCCTGCAGATGGTGCAGGATTTTCAGGGATTTACTCCCTCACAGCTCAACAGGGCAGAATATTTTCACAACACAGATTTTGGCTGAGCCTGAATTCAGCTCATGGACAAAGTGTCACCAGATAAATGAACATGAGGAAGAAATGAAACATCCACTGGCTCTGGAGGGGAAGTTTCATTTCTTCATTAAACATCAGCTGAGTGTGATCACCTCATGAGCAGCTGAGTCTCAGAGGCTAGCTCTGACATTCACACATCTTATGTTTTCAGTTTCTATATGACTGTGCACTGTCAACATCTCAGAAACACCTTGAGGGATTTTCTTCAAGTTTGGTACGAAGGTCTGTTTGGACTCACGGGTGACCCGGTTAGAATTTGCTGGTCAAAGGAGAATGTCACAGTCACCTCATGTTCTTGTGACATATCGAGATCACAGAAACATTCACTTGGAATCAAGGATGACCTGTGTAGTATTCTGTGGTCAAGGGTCAAAGGACACAGTGGCCTCAAAAGACATTTTCAGCCTCTTGAAATTTTGACCATAATGTTCATTTTTTGAACATGCACTGCCCCAGAACATTCACTCCATAATACACCAAAAGTATAATTTTCTTTGCTCTGATACAGTAACCTGTTTCACTAAACTAATTTTGAATTAAAATAAGCTCAATTGAAGCAGAATATGTATAAACTTTAAAACACCACATGCATAAAAACAAGAGTATTCAAGAGGCTGCAGTTCTCCTTGCAGCTCCGTGATCTTAACTGGACTCTGAAACTTTTTACACTTGTTGATTTGAATTAATTCTGCTCTGTTTCACCTGAAGAATTTCTCCTGTTTGCTTTGTTCTTCTCTCCAACAGGAGAGTGTTGTGCCTCTTTAAGCCTCTGAGCCTGTGTAGCTCTGTACATTCTTAAATCTCATTATAAACACTGTATCCCAACAAGTGTGATGAGTTCCATCCAGAAATATTTGAACAGCTTCTTTATTCAAACAAACATGAAACGAATTAACAGGACAGATAAAATATCCAGTCTGTGATGTGTGGGTGTGAAAAGACTGAATGAAGTTCCATGATTATAAATCCAACATCTACGTTGTGATAACTGAAAACACAACTATCACACTCAACATAAAACTGCACATCAAACGTATAGATAATATATATATGCATGAGCATATAATACTTTTCTCATTTACTTCGGCTGTGTCGTCTCAGCCTCTGGTTCCGGCTCCTCCGTTGTGTCTGCAGGCCGCTCACTGGTTTCTGATTGGTCGGCTGAATCTTTCTTTACGTCTCCTGTTTGTTTTGAATCAGAAGCTTTTGTTTCTGCAGCGGCATCAACTTTAATCTCATTTTTCTGCTCCTCCGATCCCTCGCTTTTTCTCTCTTTTTTGTCTTCCTTCATTTTCGCAGCTTTAGCCATAGACTCTGCAGGTGAAGGATCATTAGTAAACATGTCTCAGATGTCTCACACACACATATATATATAAACTGTTTCTTTCCCTCTCACCCTTTCGTTTTTCCTTGGGAGTGTTTGGGCCAAACACCACATTTCCATCTGCGTCGGTCCAGTATGAGGTCACGCCCAGGTCAGGCGTCCCCTCCGTGGTCTCCAGCTGAAAGGAGACAAACGTGAGATTACAAACTCATCAGCAAACTCAACCATCTCTCCACCAGCCAAAGAATTATGGTCCACTACTTACCCATGAAGTGCAATGAGGGCAGAGCTATCATCGATTGTCAAAAAAATCCACTTGATCACAGTCAAAACAAGAACTCTTGCATAAAATAATTCATCTATTCATATCATCTCATTTAATTTCTGTTAAACTGATATCAATGCTTTAATAACTCATTTAAATTTGAGTTAAATATGATTGTTCTGACTTTTCCAAATGAAGGGTCTTAGTATACAATGTATTATACAGTGTATAAATTATGAAGCCCTCTGGGACAAATTTGTGATTTTGCAAGTGTTCCTCAGTTTACATAATAATTCAACCTGTCTGTGTCTCCTTGTCTCTTCTACGATTACAGCCACACAGCAGATTTGAACAGTGTGAATGATGATATACTTACATGACAAAACATAAGGAAATAAAACCTTCCATAATGCAACCTGAGTGTTTTTGTTAAATTCCCCCAGCTTTCAAACTAAACGTCCCCAGTTGCACATACTTCCTGTTGAGCTTTGTTGTCTAAAGAATAACTTTGTCGTGAGAACTCATGTCCCTTTAACTCTGTGTTATTAGAGCTGCTGTGAAAACACTGTTGCTGTACATCATCTATAACTTCCAGTCAGTGAACATAAATGTTCTGACAGGAGGAAACAAAATAGTAGATTTTAAATTTCTGTCTAAAGTGTGACTGTCAGTATTAAGTAAGAGGCTGAGACAAAGAAAAAGTTTCAGATATTATAAAATAGAACATATTAGAAATTAATCCTCTGACATATTTTAAAAAACTGCTCAAAACTTATTTTTACCATCTTACTTTTAATTTCTTCAATCTTAACCTTGCTTCAACCTTTTTTTCAACCTTTTTTATTGTTTTGACATCTTTCCCTTTCTTTGGTTGTTCTGTTTTTAAGCTTCTGTTTAATGTAAAGCACCTTGAGCTGCATGTTACACAATGAAAATGCTATATAATAAAGTTTGCCATTATTGTTAATGTGTATTTCTACTGTACATTTGTTTAGTGATGTGAATGTCACATTATTTTATCAGTGAACCATGAACAATAAACAAATATGGGGTTTGGGGTTGGATTACAGTGGAGGGGAGGGTTGACTCAATGCTGGTGGTTGATCCTCAGGGAGTCCGACTCTACAGAAATGGTGGCGGGGAGGGAAAAAGGAGGAATCGACTGAAACGAGAGAGTGAATAGTGAAAAGGTGAAGCGTGGAAGGTTCAGACCAAAGTGAGACGACTCAGAAAGAAGGAAGAGGAGGAGCAGGAGGAGGAAGTGGGGGGAGAACATGCTCATTTTTTATTAGTCTCATCAAAAAACAGGGGAACAGGAACTATTCACTATGGTGATCTTCATCATATCATCATCATTATGAATAAAGGAGACATGATGGACAGTGAAGGGGAAGTCATAACAGCGGTGGATAATAATAACGATGAGTAGACAGTGGGCTGACGTGTTCATTACAGACATGAAAAGAAGGGAAGTGACATCATGATCTCAACATTCAAAGTGACTGTGATGGAACAAAAGAGAAAACAGGGCTGATGAAATGACACGTTTCATTAAAGAACCACGTTTTAGTCCATTTGCAACTAATTTGTTCACTTCTGCTAATTCACGTGTTTTATTTCCAACTTTTTTTTTTCAACTTTGTCTCAGTTCAGTCTGAATATGAGACAAAGTTTCTCCAGCTGTCGAGTCATGGCAGACTTTACATCACTTCATTTCAAAGGTTGTTTTCCAAAAACACAAGGAGAGTAAGGAACTCATGGAGATGATCTTGATTAACCTACAAGCTAGAGCCGATTAAATCTAGAAGTGAAAAGCCTCATTATGAAAATTGCAATGATCTGAAAGGTAGACTGCACATGTTCGTTGTGACAGTGAAGGATTAAAGAAAAGCCATTTGTGATTTTGAGATTTTAAAGTTGTCTGTAAACACCATGTCCTCTTTTTATTAACCTTCGCCAAGGTTATGTTTTCACCCCCGTCCCTTTGTTTGTTCGTCATCAGGATTACACAAAAACTGCTGAACAGATTTCCAGAAAACTTCGATTCGAACAAAGATGCAAATCCTGGAATTGTTTTCACTTTCTGATTTCCCAGGGAATAACTCATGGATCTTGATGAAAACTGTCTTGATGAACTAAAAGAAGTAGCTCAGCTTATTTAATTTTTTTATGTGATTTAGCAATTAAGGCAATAATTTGAGGCAAACAGGATAAAACATGTAAAGACATCACTGGGTTTAATATTCATTCAACACTGACTTCATGATTGGTTTTCTCCATGTTGCATCCGACCAACACGACTTTATCTTAAACTAATGTGTCATTTCCTCCTCTGCAGTAAACAGGAGCCAACATGTTCCTCTCTGCACAAAAACAACTTTACACAAACAAAAACTAAAATTGCACCAGTGACATTTTGAATGGGTCACACATACCTCTTTATGTTCAGTCAGATTCGTTATGATTGGATCACATCTTTGTATTTCTGTCTTAACTGTTGGACACTTTGTGTTTTAGCACCTCAAGAGTTAATTTTTAATTCTACACAAACACCTCACAACATCCTCACACCTTCGTTTCTCCTTCAATATTTTTTTCCAGTGTTTTTTTCTTTTATACATATTTAGACAAGATTTGGACCGCTTCTATTTTTTCTTGCCGGCCGCCTCTTCAGGGATGAAGACACTTACGGTGAAGTCCCCGCTCTCTGTGCCGTACTTGTTCTTCACCAGGATGCTGTATTTTCCGGTGTCCGACGTGTTCACAGCCGTGATGGTGAAACTGGCGAACTTGCCGGACTCGAACTTCAGGATGCAGTGGTCGTCGGACGTGATTTCCCTGTCGTTCTTCAGCCAGGTGACCTTTGGCACGGGGTCTCCCGAAATGTTGCAGGTGAGATTGAGGGCCTAAGGTACAGATAATAAACAGTGTTGAACATTACAGTAATTACTTGTATTTCAGTATTTGCAGTGACCGTCAGCTGTCTAGTTTATAAGACACATATCAATTTGTTATGTCAGCACCTTGCCCTCCTGGATGGTGACCACATCAGGCAAACCTCCTGCTACTCGAGCACGACCTGAAAGAAACGACATGTATTTTAATACATGGAATAAACTTTATTTCTCCGATAGCTTCAACAACGTTCTGCTGCTGCAGTGTTGTCATGTTACAATCAGAGTAGAATTCTTTTAGTCCAGCCTCGGGATGGAAACTTCAATTTGGTACATGAGATAAAATCTGTAGTACATAGTTTTTCATATAAAACATTATATTGTTATTATTGAAAGTGGACATAAGACAGCTCTTGATGATGATTCGTCATCAGTTGTTAAAACAAACACTGTGTTTCTTACCTCTCTCTGCAACAGCAGCGGCTCTGAGAGGGTAAACAAAAGAGAGAACAACAAATTGCATCAAAGTAGCTGCGAAATGAGATTTAAGACTTAACCTGCATTGTACAGAACTTATTTATTTAATTCCTCAAATAAGAAAAATAATGTGATGATTATCAAGTGGTTAATAACGTACTTGAGTCTCTGGAATTCTGCAAAAGCGTCATCAAATGCTGCGAAACAAAAACGAAAGCTGTCATGAATCTGAATCTTTTTTATTGACTAGATGAGACGTACATCCAGTCACTCAGCTTGAAGAATGCAAAATACCACAAAATCGAAGCATAAGAAGTCTATTAAAGATAATAAAAACTTATTCAAACACCTTTCAGTACAGATTTATACTGTGTGAGAAATACAGATTAAAAAAAGTCAGGCATGACATCACTGTGGAGCAGGAGTTTATAAATACACTCTCACCTTGACCAGACAACTCTACAGTTCTCCTCAGGCCTCCCTTTCCGTCGTGGAACTCGATGGCGTACTTGCCCGTGTCTTTCTCTGTGGGCTCAGTGATCTGCAGCCACAGCTGCTCCCCCACCACGCCGCTCTTTATACGGTCAGAGAAGGCGATGGCTGATTCTCTGTCGGAGACACGATACACATGAGAGGACAGCTCTGTGAGAAACATGTTGACATGAAAACACACGACCTGACCTGACATCAATTATAGTTAATAAATGTTCTTATTAATATAATTCAAAATGTCTTGTTTGTCAGGCGTACATATGCTTGGGTTTATGTATAAAAGTGCATGGAGGACTAACTTGTAGTGCCATGTCACTTGGAGTAAATCGTTATAGAAGTTGACGAAGGTGTAGAGTCGGATGCCCTCATCTGTGCTCGTGATCTTCAGTGGAGTGGAGGAATTGGCTGCAAGTAAAGGAAAAGATCAGTAAAGTTTTAAAAAGCAAGTTTTGAATGAATCGGCTGCAACATTATGAAGCGAAAAAATGCTTCTTCTTACCAATAAAACTGAAAACTTCATTCATCAAGTCCTTGAAACCTTAAAAAGAACAGGTTTTGATCATTTGAAGTGATATGAAAGGAAAAAAGTATTATTTAAGACATTCTCCACTGAAGGTCACCTTGATCTGTTAAATTCAATGTGGACGTGTCTTTTCCTCTGTCGTCCTTCAGAACGACCTCGTACACACCAGAATCCCTCTTGGAAATCTGACAGACAGAAAACAATGAAGTTAACTTGAGTCGTAAAACAACAATGAGCATCACCGAGACTTTGTATTCACGAGAAAAGACGAGCTTTTCTCTTCTGCTTTGGATGCTGCAGAGGACACATATATAGGACACGAAAGCAAAAAAAGCCAACAGACAAACAAACAAATATATATATACATTTTAAAAAAGCATTCTCAGGCAAAACCAGAAATGAGCAATGATGACAACAGAAAACTGATCCCAACTTTTATTCTTCTCCAGGTTACGTCGCAGTCGGGTGTGTCTGCAGGGGAGTCACACTGAAATGGGACACATGTGACATCATGTTTATGGGTTATACTGAGATGGAGCGATGGCATGACAGTGAACGCAACTCAGACAGACGCTCAGAGACGATACAGTGGATAAGAGCTGAGAGAGACGGAGTGAAGACAGCTGAGAGAGGACGACAGAGCAGTCAGAGAAAGAAAGTGATAACGGCATCATACAATTAAATGGGAATAATTGAATGAGATATGTAACATTTATTTAAAAAGAAAGTTAATGCTGAAGATTCATAAAATTAGTAAATAAATGTTTTTATTGGTCTTAGTTAGACAGTATCTTGTGAATCAATATTCAGCTGAGAGAAAACCATTAAATGTAAAGAAGTATAGAGCAATGATATCTCTCTTTACAGTCATATATATGCAAATGTATTCAGTGAGAAATATACAGTACACAGATATACACAGATATGAATATAAATATATATATACACATAAATTCACACTTCAAGCAGGCTTCTTTTCTCAAATTCTCACCTGAGCTATTTCCAGTTTCAACACTCCCTCTGTGAAGCTCAGATGCTCTTCTGCCTTGATCTCTCGTCCGTCTTTGTACCACAGCGCCGAGGTTTCCTTCTTCACGTTGCCGACCTGAAACTCAGCAGAACAGCAGCATGTGAATAGTGTTTCATTAAAGATGTTCTGTGCAGAAACTCTTCAGAAGTTCGGTCTCACCTTGCATTTCAGCACAACGCAGCACTCGGGCGTCACCTCATAACTCAAATACTCGATGAAGTGAGGACCTGGAACAAACATGGAAGTTATGAGAATGAAAATCATAACTGCTTATGCAAATATAGATTAAGAATCATCTATATTCAATAGAGACAAAATGTTTCACTTCCAGATATTTGCTGGTTCCTGCTTTTCTCTTAATTGTGATTGTAAATTGAATATTTTTGGGTTATGAACTGTTGAAAAGACGAATCAAGACATGTCGCCATACTGTGATCAGACATTTCAAGAATAATTTTGTTTAATCAATCAAATAAACAGCAGATTTCATGATAACTAAAACCATATTTTTCATTAGTTAAAGCTCTAATTTCCAGTGACTGTAACATACCTTGCTTTCTGAACCATTCTTTCCTCTGGAACTCTGATTCCTTCTGAAGCTCCTTGAACACTGCAAATACAGAGTTTAAAACATTGATATATTTTATGCTTGAATCTAGTGATCTCTCACTTTCACTTCTATCTCTCACAATCCAATCACAAAATCTAACCATGTTATAACCTTGTGTTCGGTGCTGTTAAATTATCCAAATTTAGTAGTTTGGGATGCTTAAATGTTTTACTGCCCTCTAGTGTCCAGACTATGGAGCTGCTGGACTGAGCTCTGCATCACTGCCAGCTACACATAATAAACAGTTTTTTGGGCTTCAGTCATTTCTATTTCAAAGCCAAAGAAGTAATTAATACCAACTGTTTTCCCATCGATTTAAGCCCCTGGTGTATTTCATTATCATGAAGTACAGACATCTTGCTGGAGTTCAGCTGTGTACAAGTTTGGACAAGAGAACTTTCTGAGATGTTTTCATTTGCCGAACAAACCGTTTCCTATCAGCACCAAGCTGGACTGGTTGGTTGCTTTCCCGTCTTTCAGCTGGAAGGTGAAGGTGCCCTCGTCCGCTGGGGTCAGAGACTCCATGATCATCTCGATCACACCGGTGCTCTTGTCGAAGTTCATCTTATATTTCTGCAAAACAACGAGGACAATTTCATAAATGTTAGATTAGCATGAATAAAAAAAACAATTATTTAAGATCAATCTCCTTTGCTGCTCACTGACCTCCCCCTGAGAGATGAGATTTTCATTAAACACGTAATCGACTTTGCCATCAGCAGAAATCTTCTCGGCCTGCAGCCAAAAGCGAACTCTGCCTTTCTCCAGCAGTTCCACAGCCAACTGTGACTTCAGGGGAATAACTAGTTATAAAGAAGAGAGCGGGGGAAATGAAGAAAAGAGTGACAGACAGCTCAGAGAAACCAATCCAGTCCAAAAAACAGCAGCGAGAGGCTGTGAGGCTGAAGTACTCACTGGGGAATTTGTGGTCGTGACTGACCTCCAGCAGCCTCTTCAACTCTGACAGAGATAAGAGAAGATCAATAAACAGAGATTTACAAAAAAGGTAGAAACTGAAATGATTACTGAAACATGTTCCAACCTTCCTCAGAGAGATCGTAGCTGGATGAAGCTCCATCAGTGTGTGTGACGATACAGGAGTAAATGCCGATGTCCTCCTCTCCAGGAGTGTTGAAAACAGCTTTCGATCTGCAGGAGAACACGGTGTTATAAACGAACAACTGTGTGTGCACATCAAAGAGTCACACAGCTTCACAGATTTTGACGTCTCACTTGTTTCCCTTGGTTTCCATAGTCAAGCGTGAGGGGTCTGTGATCTCCTCGTAATTCTTGGACCACACAAATTTGGAGTCAGGGGTCAGGTCACAGCATTCAAAGTTCAGGGAGATGATGCCATCATCGTCTACGTCCACGACGATCTCCTTAGTGCCTGAAACCACAGAGAAATGTCGTCACGCTGTAGAAATGAGCTTTATTATCACCATCATGTCATCACAGTGCCTGTATTTCCTCCCACCAGGTTTGGTCACAGCTGAAACCGGTTCTGTCACGTCAGATGTTTTTCCAACACCGGCTTTATTCTGAGCACGAACACGGAAGATGTACACCTCTCCCTCCTTCAGGTTCGTAATCTGTGACATGACAGAAAAATAACCACATGACAAAGCAGCTACGGACACATGTGACGATGATTGATGAGGGACTCCAGGTGATGGCGACCTTCATGTACGTCTTCTCCCTGGCCTTGTTGTTGACGCCTCTCCACGCCTCCTCTGGGGCGTCCGCTTCCTTGATGTCAATGTAGAACCCGTTGACCGGATCGCGGCCCTGGTACACAGGTGGTTTCCATAGCAATACCAGAGAGTCGTTGCGCACCTCTCTCACCTGCAGGTCATGAGGAGGTCCTGTGGTAAACACATGGGAGAAGCACACCTGAACATTTGCTGACTCGAGACATTCTCATGACTTTAGCCTTCGGACACGTGATGATGTGATATCTTCTCAAGTCAGGACATTCAAATAATTCAAATAAATCAAAAATAATCAGTTTTCTATAGCGTGCATCTATAACTGTCCCACTTCCAGTTCTAAGTATCAACATTGTACCAAGGTACTTGTATATTTTCTATCAAACAGCTGGTGAAACCAACCTGGCACAGCGATGGTCCACTCCTCACACAGGAAGGTGTCACTGGCCAGCGACGGGATCCCAACACCTGCCATGTTGGCTGCTCGCACCTGGAACTGGTACTTCCTGTTCTCCATCAGGTCGGACACCTGAAGAAAAAGACGCATGATGATGAAACCTGGCTCATCAGATTATTTTTGTTCACCATTAAGATCCACATCAGTTTTAAACTTGAGACCGGGGTTTCACACTCACTCTGTAGGCCCTCTCACTGACAGCCTTGATGTTGGCCTCGTGCCACTTCTCCGGCACGCCATCGATGACCTCGCGGTAATCCACGAAGTAGCCGGTGATGTCAGCACCGCCGATGAAGCTCGGCTGTTTCCAGCCCAGCACCATGGAGTCGCGCACACACTCCAAGACGCTGATGCCATAGGGTGGAGCAGGGGAGGCTGCGATGACAGAAAACTCAAATTAACACCATAGACACGATGATGTCATGGGAAACTAAAGCATTACAATAACTTTTAAATCCCAAACTGTGATTACATCTCCTCAATCTACAGAATTCATGCATTTCGTGATTTTAAAAGATGCCGTTTGGCCTCATCGTCGTATATAAATTATTCCTTTTACAGCAAGTATCTGTGGTACAACAACACAGTTTCTTCAAAGGCCTAAACACTACCACAGTCATCACTGGATTGTGTATAATATTAATTACAGAATATTGTCAACATAATGGTACAATTAAGGTTTTGGAAATCATCTTTCTTGCCAAGAGTTAGACGAGAATTTTGGTACCATATCTGTTCGCTTAATATGTAGCTAGCCTAGCATAAAAACTGAAAATTAAAAAATTCAACAAACACATTTGATAACTTGCTAATCAAAATAAAGGTGAAAACCAGAACATTTCGTTTAATTGATAAAAGACTTGTGAAATAACTCCAGAATAACCACAACTTGACATTTGCACATTCTATTTTTTGTCAGAAGCAACATAACCTTTAACAATAACTTTAGAAGTAGAATCAAATTTCTCATCTAATACCCAGCAAGTAAGAAAATAAGCACGTGTTCCAAAATGCACATTCATTACTTAATAGTCTCAAATAGAAAGATGAAACTGTTAAAGCATTTGTCCTCACTAAGGACACAGTGATTTCTGAGACTGTAAGTTGAGGTAGGACTATAAGAAAAATCCTCTAATACAGAGTCATGTCAAATGGTGAAAGTAAATTGGGTCGTAACACTAGTTACCTTCTTTATTTAAGGGGCTGACATCTGAAGTACACAGTTGGACAGTACTATATGTACGATAAATTGAAGTCACAAGTGCTAATAAAGAGTAAAAACTACAGTTTCTACTACAATATAGCTTATACTACTATAGAAGTCGAGGGTGGTGAGGTTCTGCCAAAAAGGCGAAATTCCAACTTGAAATCCAGTTACAACCCCTGAATCCGAGCTATAAAACGGAAAGCGGCACTAAAGGTCTCAGATCACATGTGTCCTGCTCTTGTGTTCGCTGGATAAACCACTCGCGCTACAATGACATACGTGTGTTTGCATGTTAAAGTGCTCAGAGTGGTGGCAGCTCCCAGGCGCCACATGACTGACGCCAGGCCACCGAGTGCAGGAGGTTGTGGGAAAGTGACGTCCAGCAAAAGTATTGACAAGCGTGACTGAGGTGTCCAGTTAAAGCTTGGTGCTTTTACATAGACTTACCTTTGATTGGAGAATACCAGTAGAGCCGTTCACCTTCTGTTTATTGATTATTTGGCCTTGTAGAATTGATATAACATTGGAAACTCTTTTATTTTTATTGTGAAAGTCAGAGATCGGATCGTAGGTGGGGAGGGTGGTAGTGTTGTATTTGTTTAGGATTTGATAAAAAGGTTTTCCATCTGTGACCGGTGCTCACCTGTCGACTCTCTCCTCGGCCTCGCTGTCTCCCGATTAGGGTCTACAGAGAACTTACGTGCCTGCGCGGCCTCAGGCCCGTCAGCTGTCTCTACATCCTGAACCTGAGCAGTGACTGGCTCTAAGCATGTGGCTGTGTCTTTGTCAGTGTGTGAGTTAGAAACCGAGCCTGACACGGACTCTGAGACCAGGTCTTTTGCCAGGTCAGGGGCCCAGGACACACTGCCTCTCTTGCACCCCTTGTTTTTACTCTCGGAGGGGTCGGGCTCTGTGCGGCCTCCGCACCCAGCAGCCCCGGCCCCCTCCCTGGCTCCAGTGTCAGTCTGAGCTTTTTTATTGCACTTTTGCTTAGTGTCAGGGGAGGGCTGGACAGTTTCATGCGTGCCCGTCCAGTGTGGCCTGTGTTCAGTTAGTTGGCCAACGTTACCCCCCGGCCCCATCTCCGGCAACACACCATGAGGGATGCCGCCCCCTACAGGAGTTAAAGCAGAAGAGGCTTCTTTTAAAACAGGCAAGAAATCCATTCACATGTCACAGCTCTTATCTCAGTCCCCCAACATAGAAACAGGCTTCAAACACAAAAAAATCTCAGTACGTCTCAAATTCAGTAAAATGTCTTCATCCAACTAGGAGTAAAAAATGAAGACAAGATGATCAATAGGTGACATCCATGTGAGGAGGCTGGTAGGATTATGAGAACATGCAGTTGCGTGAAGAAGAACAGCCAAAGAGCGTGGATGTGCAAACTTTGCACGAGCCCTTTATGAAAAAACATACTTTCATAAAAATGTCAATGGATTTCATTTAATTTAAGATTTCTAATCAAAATGTGTGATATTATTGATATGTTTAGATTTTGTATGAAGTTCTTTGTTCACAAATTTTCCATAATATTAAAATATTTTACGTGTAAGTAAATGAAAGTTATATTTTTATAATAAATGTGTAAATAAAGTGTATTATAATTATTTCAAATAGTAAAACAAGTCATTTATTAATATGTTTGACAGTGAGCAGCGAATCTCACCGGCATTTTTACCAAGCATGTTTCACAAAGGGAAACAGAGCATGCGGCTCAGCACGAAGTCGACCAGTGAATGAATGAGATCCAAAGCTTGAGAGTTGTGTTAGTTTTAATGCAGAGAGAATTTAAGGAAAACATGCAGGAGATTAGAAAGAGCTTCTCTGACAATTACTACAATGGCAGCTTTGTTCTGTTTTGCATTGCATGTTTTAGAATCAGGCTCCAGTTATTTCTTGATAATATAAAGATGTTGATTAACACTGAATTCTGTTGTTTGAATTAATTTTATGCAAACATGAGAAAACCTTTTTTAAAGTGACACTATATAACTTTTACTGAGCAACAGCGCCCTCTACAGCTACAAATGGTGATTAACTGATCCGTGTCCGAGACATTAATTCTGATGCAGAGAAAAAAATAAAGCTTCTCACTGACTGAAACTATTTCGATCTGATTTCATGAATAAATTATCATCTCATGATTGAGATAACTACTCAACAGAACAATGCCACTGCCAGATTAGCTGCTTAGAAAGAGGTTATGAGAGAGTTTATTTCTTTAAAAGGAACCGGTGGGAGTGGGAGAGAGTGTGCGTTGATACCTTTAGCACCACGTGGGGTTTCCCAGGACGGGTGAGGGAATCGGGGTAATGGAGGGGAGTGGTGTGTGACGCTGTGCTCGTTTGTAACAACCACTGAATTGGATCGCTCTGACCCAAATTAAGAGGAAGTCTACAAGTCCTGACTCAGGCCGAGCAGGGAGGTGGAGGAGGTGGAGGAGGTGGGAGGAGGGTGTAGGTGTGGCTGAACAGGGTGGTGGGTGGGTGGGTCACACAGAATAAGGTGACAGGGTAAAGGGGGTGAGACCATGGTGGAGAAAGTGTGGGGGGGGTGTACAGTGGATGCTGATGATAAAAACAGCTGAAGACATGTCTCAGAGAACAGCAGCAGCAAAATACCAAGAAAAATATTAAATCTTACATTTCTTTTTTACATTTTAAAAACGTACAAATAATAAATAAATTTACACCCGTAAAACCAAAATGTTCAACAATCTTCAGTCTGTGGTGTTGGTGCATTCCAGGAGTCATTTTGTGGTGAAATGTCCTTTATCTAAACCTGTCGCATCCAATTTATCTCCAGGTTTTAGAGACTAGTTTTCTCAATTCTCTAAATAACATTTTAGCATTTTCTCCAGAAGATAAGATATGTTATAATGAGGATCAGTTGCATCTAAAATGGTGATAATAATAGTTTCCTGCACAAAAAGATACACAAAAAGCAAAATGGACTCAGAAATGCAAGTTTCAACACCAACAGCTGATTTTTTAAATATTATTTAATTGATTTTAGGTGTGTTTTTCCTTTAAACCATACATCTGAACAGAAAAATATTATGATTAACTGTGGCATGAACCCGACATCTCACTCACCAATAGCAGCCTTCACCTCAACAGGCTCAGACTCTGGGGAGAACTGGCTGAGTCCTGCTGCGTTCACTGCCCTCACCCTGAACACGTACTTCTCTCCCGTCATCAGACCGTGGCAGATGAACCTGTAAACATAAATGTTGGTAAATGTTTTTATAGCAATACCTATATCCTGATAAAAAAAAAGTCCTACGAGCTGTGGTTTTACCTGGTTACATTTACAGGCTTGTTGTTGCACGGCTCCCACACGTTGCTGCCCACGATGCTCCCCTCAATGTAGTAACCAACCAACTCTTTGGCATCACTGGACGCTGCCCAAGACACGACGACTGACGTGTCTGTGTTTCTAGTGGGGACGACTTTGCTGGGGGCTGATGGGATATCTGCAGGATAAAGTATTAGGGTCTTGAACCGAGAATGACATTTGCATCTCCGTGAAGCAGGTGTGTACGTGTGTGCACAATAGATGACATGGCAATTCCCTAAAAGTGAAGTCAAACCATCTTGATTGTTCCCTGGAGGCTTGCTGCAATAACGCTTATAAGCTTCACCTCCTCCATGTTAGTTATTTGGGACATGGACCACTGATCAATTTGTTTTTTCAGTAGTTTCTTGCTACAGAAACAGAAATGTTATGATTGAAAGCTGTGCTGACTGCAGCTCTACTCCGAGATAGTTTCATGAGTTCATTCATGTTCAATGGGAGAAAGACAAGACGCATCATCCATCTTTATTTATGGTTTATGTACGTTTTCTCACCAAGCTTGTCGCCAACTGTGGTGGCCTCAGTGGGGTCAGAGGGTTCACCGACCCCGGCAGGGTTGCAGCACCGGACACGGAAGCTGTAGGACTTCCCCTCGGCCAGATCGAACAACGCAAAGCGAGGGGATTTGACTGGGATCTCTGTGTTCACCCTCTGCCAGCTGTCTGTGCCCGAGACACACTGACAAACAAGGACACAAGAATCCATCCGTCACTCACATAGTTATAGATACTAATGCAAACAAAAATTTGTTGTTTGGAATATTTAGTTCAGATTTTACTGTAACACGTCAGAATAAGATTTACCTTCTCCACGTAGTACATCACTCCCTCCAGGCCTTTCTCTCCAGGTGGCTTCCAGCTCAGCACTACGTAATTCTTGGTGGCCTCCGTCACCTGGAGTTCAAGAGGTCTGCCAGGAACAATGCCCTCTGTTGATCAAAATATATAAAGATTAAGGTAACATAGCAATCACATCACTGGGTTTTATGGAGAATATGTACATCTCCTACCTGCAGGTTCCTCCTCTGTGACAATGATTTGGCCAGTCCAGGGAGCAGAAGTACCTGTCAGCAAATAATCATCATCATCATCATTATCATGTATATAAAAACGCTATGTTTTATTTATATTCTCTTTAATTGGTCCTTTTTCAAATCAGTAATTCTGACGAGAATTGAACTTATTGTAATTGTAGTAGTAAAACGTTACATAAGTTAGAAATATCATATTTTACTGCTGTTATTCTACTGTTTTCAGGGAACAAAGCTCTTGGATAGTGGGAGTATGGCATAGGATCACACATGCTGTTCAGTTTTACCTCTCAAGCGGGCGCGGTCAGCCGGGTCCATGGCGGCCACGGGTTCAGACACTCTGGACGGATGACTCATGCCGCTGTTGTTGACCGCACGCACGCGGAAGAAATAAGAACGACCCTCCACCAAACCGGTCACGGGGAAACGGGCGAACTTGACTGGAGTGTCATTGCACTGGATCCAGTGGTTGGTTCCAACCTCACACCTGTATGTATATGATTCATTTAAATCACATATAAGAACTTTTTGTCAACAAGAGTATGTGAAGGAAAAGCTACCACCTATAAAAAGTTTGGTGTCACCATCAGTGTTTTTTTCTGTCCATTTTTAGTTGATAAAACTTTCCCTCGCTTTCCCTGAATTCTTTGAAGGGTTTTATCCTGATCATTGCTGTGAGACAACTGACGCACAACCCAGCCAGCATCGCACTGACTGACCTGTCCACAAAGTAGCCCATGATGGAGTTGCCACCATCGACAGCCGGCTGCTTCCAAGTGACAATGATGTAGTCCTTGTTGGCATCGAGACAGCGAACATCCAGAGGGGCTCCTGGAGCTCCTTCCACCTCAGCATCAGAATCTGAAACAAACATGAACACCATTATTGATGTCTATATGCATACTGTCCTTAACATGCATTGTGTTTCCACCCATTTGCAAGATGAATTAATAGTTTTTATAATTATTCAACTTTGACCCAAAGATGACAAAAAAAAATTCTTCTAGCTGTTTAAGTGTTCTTCACTTTGCCCTGAGTTTAACTGTTTAGCTGCAGGGCTCTATGCCAGGAATGTCTCTGGATCCTGGAGTCAAACACAAGCCGAGAGCAGTAGGAGGACAGAATTAGCAGCAGCCCACCCCCGAGTGAAAGGGGATCAGAGAGGTGACTCTTAAAAGCAACATCGAGGTAAAGTGAGGCTGTCTAGAAGAGATGTCACTACAGACATGAGTTGCATCATAACCTAAGAGCACGTACTAACAGTGTGTGTGTGTTACAGCCATTATTAAGTTATATTTAAGTATTGTTTCACGTACTCCTTGGAAGGTCCCATATCCTGAGTTGTGGAGATATTGTTCTAACTTTTATGTTTTCAAGTGGTTTGACATCAGAATGTGGAAAAAAACAAGCAAAATGTGTTTTAAACAACACTTTGTCCAATATTGGTGAACTAATGCAAAGAAAAAGGATCAGGTGTAATATAAATAATTTTAAATGTATGTATTAAAAACAAAAAACAAATGTTTTCGATTGCTGCTACACTGCATCAATGTAGAATTACATTTCAGAAAGTAAGAAAATATTCTTCATAAGACAACTTCAAAAAATGATCATTTTGAATTTATGAATATGGGCCTTAAAATACAGCACACTGGGGGGAAAAAACAAGATTGGCCAATTAAAGAAAAAGTAATTATAACTGTAGAGATGCTCATTAAATGAACCAGAGTGCAGGAAGGAAACTGGGCAGCCTATTGTTTCTCCTTGAAGCAGATATTCACAGTATCTCTCTGCACTCACAGCCAGACTCATTCCTCAGCTGAGCTCTCTGAGAATAACCAGGCTCATGCAGTGCTTTGCTGTGGAGGCTGTACCTGGCCTCTTCTTAACTGGGGTCTATTTTCTAGCTTGTTCATACTGAACATGGTTCCTCTGTAAAAGAGCCTCAAAGGTCAGATTGTCTCTGAAGGCAGCAGAGATAAGCTTCACTGTTTTCCATGGTATTCAAACAGATGCCAGGGAGCTGCCACTTTGCGGCGTCTCTATTAGAGATATCCTATTTAAAACCAGCCACTCACATTCAAACACTTTGACCGTTAAATGCCGTTTGGTCATGAGGTGCCAGAGGACGTGCTGTTGTGGCTTCGACCTCCATTTGATAACATCACATGACCAAAACAAAGCCGGGGCCATCAGGTTGTATTTATCTTGTGTTGATTGATGGTTGCAGTTAAAATGTCTGAGGGGAGATTTCTCAGATACCTCACATTTTGAAGAATTAAGGACTTAAGAGGATATTTTCTACACGTGCACGGAGAAATATTTTAGAGCAGGTTTTGTTGAGGGTTTGATATTTAACATGATGGTAAATAAAACAGATTCCAAGACAAGAAACAGTCAAATTGTGGAATACTCATGATGAACTATTCCTAATCAATAAAACTAAAGGAAATGTAGATAATTTTCAGATAATTCTTGAGTGTGAAATGTAGGTTGGTACAGAACATAACATAAAGATTGTAATCCCCCAGATATAGAAACAACCATCTAAATATCATAATGTAATTTAAGTTTTATAGAAGGTTCCTTCACCTCTGACGAAGACATAGGAGGAGTAGGTTTCATATCCAGACTTGGTGGTGACTCTCAGGGTGTAGAGACCCTCGTCCTCCTTGTTCAGGTGTGTGAGCGTCAGTGTGGCTCTGTCTCCGCTCCAGCGCATTTGGTACCATTTAGATGGAGACAGCAGGACATCTGGAAGACATGCCAGTGAATGTTAGCACGGTTAAAAAAACACCAAGGACAGAAAGGAAGTCTTGTATTATACAAGACATCATATAGGAAGCAGGTTTGAAAGGGCTTTAAAATGTGAGTTGAAATTCTAGCAATAATCTAAACTGATCATACTAACCATCTTTGTACCACTGGACCTCTGGCTGGTAGAGGTGCAGGGACGGGTAGATGACGACTGTGCACCCCAGACTCATGGTCTCCCCCTCTCTTCCAAATGACACGCCAAACTTATCGACAATGTGAGTCTGGAAGGTGATGCCATACTCAGACACTGGGCCATCTATGGACGAAGCGAGACACAGCAGAGTCAGAGTTTGGACTGGTGCACTAAACTCAAAGAAAAAAAGAGTGAAAAGACCAAAGAGTCTTCAAATAAAAAAGAGGGAGCAGATCATATCACAAATCATATCCAAAAGAAAGAACACACATGAAGATCCAAACTTTGTAGCCACACAGAAGAAGATGGTGGAAAAAAAACGTGGCTCAAAAGTGTGAAGATTTAGATAAAAAACACAAACACAGAGCGACAGAGTGACTCTGAAACACAGTGCTCACAAACGTGTGTGTGACAACTTCATGCAAAGAGCAGTGAAGCACAACAAACGCAAGTGAAACATTGCTGAAATAAAAGAAAGCACTCTAGAGAGCATCCAGGATGAAATAATGATTTCTCAAATTAAAAGTAATATAATCTTTTCAAAGTTTGCTACGTTCTTCCAAGGCTCCTGTGCTAGTGGGGTGTGATCAGAGTCAGCTGTGCCAATCACCTCTCCCTGGTTCACCTGGTGTCCCTCTCCGAGCCACCTCCACTGCTCCGTTTATAAATTATAGCAAACACTATCAAATGGCACTAAAATATGTTCTCATTCTGAAAAAACAACTTCTCAGCTGCAAAGCTGTGAAGTCAGGGTTTGCAAAATGCTTCAGCAGTTCATTCTGAACTCTGCGTATAAACAACTTAAGCTTACAATGTTGCACACTAGCAAACATTGGTGAGGCACACAAACTGTTTCTCTACCAGAAACACTGATAAACCCTCAGATCGACTACGTCAGACCTCACAGTTCCAGGAGAACACTGTGGACTTTACAGTGAGTGGCCATGCACGGACACAGAGTCAACAGGAAGCATCAACTCCACCAAACCAGATTCCTTTGAACCTGTTACCTTTAGTAATGGCCCCTGCATTGTCGCCCGCAGCATCAGAGAGACAAAAAAGTTGTTAGTGCAGAAGCTCCCACTGATCTCCCTCCTCCCCAGCTCACCGTTAAACATTAAAAACAAATACATCTTCTATAGACATTGAAAGATTAGATGTGTTTTAAAGGTTCAGTGTGTAGAATTTAGTCACATCTGATGGTGACGTTTCATGTTGCAGCTGGATTCCCCTTCACTTCATCCTTCCAAACAGAGAAGATAACCTATAGCCTATAGATGTAAATATAAAGTTGCTCATTCTAGGGTTAATAAAACATTAACAAATGGTACAATTTAGATGAAAACATCTCTAGGATTATTGTATTTTCAGTTTCTGCCAATAGATCCCTTTCACCTAAATCTTACACACTGGACCTTTATAGATTTATCAAAAAATACATAAAAAACAAAACACAAGTGGCCTAAATTTAACACAGAATCAAATAAGAACATATGAAGCAAATGTGATCACTTATAACAACCACAGAGCATTACTATTGTTTCATGTGGTTTTACTGTCTACAGGTTTGCTGCTGTGATAACAGGAGACAGACAAAGTTAGCACTGAGCACATTTAACTGGGGAAGAAAGTTGAGCATTTGAGCTAAAGACCCAAATATCTTTTTCCAGAACTGGTGGAGAACAAACCTGAGCTACAAAGAGAGTGTATTGTTGACGTCTCTTAATCAGGAGACAGAAAAGTAGCTCTAAGTGAATACCAGTGCTGCTGGTTATGTAAATAGGCAGTAACAATTTAATATGACAAAAATGTATGTGTCTTTCAACATGTTTTGAAGATTTCTTCACCCATGAATTCAACAATGCAGTGTTAAATATACATAAAAAACGAACACAGTGACTAAACACTTACGTCTGGGAGCTGGCAGGAACTCATCAACTTCACCTTTGAACCCTATTGAGAAAAGCACCATTTTTTTTATTGTTGATTTAACTAAATTTGTGATTGTGAGAAAACAGTTTCCTCATGTCGACAACACTAAGGCGTGATGTTTCTCCTACTTTTAACAACTATGGAGGCGAATGCAGAGAGCTCTCCCTTGGAGTTCATGGCGGAGACGCGATACTGAGCTGTGTCATCAAAATCGCATCTGAAAGAGCAGAGGATCAGGTGATCAATGTCCATGATGCACACATTCTTCAAGGATTCATGTGCACGGATCCCTCCCCCCCCTCAACCTCAGCCCTCTGAACCATGTAAATAATACCAACTATGAGAGGCCTGACTGTGAAGTGTTCCATAACTCCTGGCCAGGAATACTCCAGCAATAAATAGACACGACTGGTGATGTCATTTCTGAACTTTAAAGTATCTGTTGTGTGCTGTACACGATGGGAACCATAATCGATATCCCCAAGAGAACTCTTGTATTTTGTTGACAGGCAGAGAGGGTTGGTAATGAGGTTTAAGGCAGAATGGTAAAAACAATGATGGATTTTTCTGCAGTCCACTGCCCCACAGATGTAGTTGCCATAGTCTTGACAAACACTCAATAATATTTATACAAAATCAGAAAATAGCAAAATCTGCTGCTTTAATAATATAATCAGACGTTATATTTTGTAGCACTGACATCAGGGTCTCCAGTTGGACAGTATCCATGTTGACAATGTTGCTAATGCTACAGCTAGCTGCCAGAAACAAATATCTGTGATCCATTGTTCATTGATAATTGAAAGAAATCTAAATGTTTTCTTCCAGTAAAGCTACACCCACCTGTTAATATCCAGTGAATGGACGCTGTATCTGCTCTCAAGCTTATACTTGCCAGGGTTTGCCATGGGGTCAATGGCCACATTGTTTTTGTACCTTTTAGAGGGAGGCAGAAAACACGATAGAGGAAAGACAAAGAGAAGAAGCTTGAAAAGGATGAAAAAGGAAAGCAATGAAAAACAGATGGAGCCTAAGAAACAAGCGTTGTTGAGACAACAGGGAGGACAGACTTGAAGTTGTGTTTGAGGTTGAAGTGTGTTGGTGACCTACCAGACGACCCGTGGGTCAGGCCAGCCACTGACAGTGCAGTGCAGCCGCACACACTGCTTCTCCCACACAGTGTGGGAGCGAGGTTTAATCACAAACTCCGGGGGGTGCATCAGGCTGTCTTCGTTCATACGCTTGAAGTGTTCCTCGTGTTCATGGATCTGAAGATAGCAGAGTAAGTCACTGCACGTTTGTAGAGCATAAACTGTTAAACATCAAAAAATGATTCGTGTGATTTCACAAGAAATTCAGAACACATGCTTGAAGCAAAATCAAAGCTTTCTAATCATATCCTCATTTGTTTACACATGCAAGGTGTACATCTGACATGTGTCACAGTACCAGTGTGACAACGTGTTGTTCATTATGTCCTATGAATAGCTAGCGGTGTTGAGGTCTTGTCTAGTTGGGCGACCAGTAACTCAGCACATAATATGACAACACCCATGGGACACTCCCTCCCTGTGTCTCAAGGAACACGATCTCCTGAGGTATTTGTCACCCAGTAATCTGGCCGAGGGGAGACAGATAAATACAGTGAGGAGGTTTCTGTGGATTTTATAATACTCAGTGAATGGCTGGGTACTTCACATAATCACCCAGACTTAAATAACTCCCTTGTGTAAGGAATAGTACACCCGACCATTCAGCCACAGGCACTTGGCGTTCCTAAGACATGCTGCAATGAATTAGTTGTTCAGATACACGAACATGCAGATAACTTGATTGGGTTTTGTGGCTGAAAACATTTAAAATGTTTAAGAATGGAGTCGTAAAGAAAATACACTTTGTGATGTGATAAAAGAAGATGATCTACTTTTAGGATGTCACAAGTAACAAATCAGGGATTCAAAAATTATAATGATCTGTTGACGCCCCAAATTACTAAGAAGTGGTTCATCATGATGTCACAAGTAGCAATGACGCAGATAGATCAGTTGTTGAAGAACTGTGATCAACGAGTGTTATGAGGTCACAAGTAAGACGCCTGTGATGTGACAAAAGCACTGATATCCACTGTGATGTCATTAAGGAGAACAACATCAGTGATGTCACAGTTTGTCGGTTGTGTCATAGACGTGTTTTTCATATAAATAAAAGACGGTGCCTTCCTCTACGACCTCAAAACAGCTTGAAACCCCTTCACTGACCCTTTTGCTCAGAGAGATGCGATCAGCTGACTCGCGCATGGCCTGCTTCCTGGAGATCTGCTCTGACCTCTCCATCTCCAGGCCGCTGCTGAACAAATCCCTGCGGGCCATGTCCCTCACCCTTGATTCGCCTGTATCCGAAAATCCTGTAGCAAACTCTTGACTGGGAGTGGAGTGGATCAATATGGGGGAGGAGTAAGGAATAACATTAAAACTGAAATAAACGTTTTTAGTGTTCCACTTTCATACAGTGAGGAGTTTGTTACCTGCCCCTGAAGATAGGCACTACATAGCCGATGATTTGGTTTTCTTTGTCCACAGCCAAGTAAGTTGGCTTGGTTCTCTTGGGTATGGGGCTCAGTCTGCTCTCTTCCAGCCCAGAGTGTGAGGACACTTTAAGTCTGAGACATACAGAATACCATCAGCCTGGCTCAGAGCCAGACAGCAACCAATAACATAACATCAACATGTGGGGGGGGCGCTCAGGTCATGTGTAGATGAGTGATAGATTAGTGTTGCATGGGAGGGAAGTGTGGATGGTTTAGTTATTATTATAATATCAATACATCAGTAAATCACCATCACTAAAGACAACTGAAAACAATTATTATCGTATCATTAAAACACCCCGACAAATCAGCTGCACTGAATTCAATAGTACAGGTTGGGGATTCCAGATCCTCTTATCTCAGAGTACAACTGATACTGATAATGATATTATATCACTTAGGACTCATGTTACACTTAATTATATTGATGCACCGTTTATAACAATATTCTATTCTGCACTCAAAGCCATGGAGTATCAGTCCATCTCACTATATCTCAAGATAAATGAAGGGAGTTTCTTTTATCTTATAGTTCTAATAGTTGTTGTTATTATTCTTGATATGAGATTTTTCCATAATTTTATAGAAATAGAGCATTAAGCCATATGAAATCATCTTTCCTAATAATTACATTGTATCTTGCTAATTCATTTACTTACAATATCACCTGCCTTAATGGATATTCATGTTTTTCTGATTTTAATTCATACTCTGTTCTTTTCACTTGGACAGAACTTTGTGTTTAAGGTAGAAAAATACACTTTATTAAAAAAAAATTCTATTGGTACAAGTCTGCTTAGAAAAATGAAAACAGCTCTGTTTTGTTAAAAGATTATCGCAGCATTTTGAGTCAATATTTTGTATCTTGTACGTTTTTCCAGACTGTCTAATTCAGGCATTAGGTCAGACTCCTCTCACTTTGTCGTTTTGCAGGAAGGGGAAACACTATCTGTCGTACTGGAGAGTTGGGGGTAGGAGCTCATAGTGTGAGATAACATGATCACTATAAGGAGGCGGGGGCAGGAAGGGTAACAGGGCAGCTGCCCTCATTTTTCCCGTATCTTACTGGGTCAGTTTCCCTTTAGCTCACACCATGTACATCCACTTGACTCTCCAGGACCAGGGCTGCAACGGTGTATTATTATGGAGCAGCAGTTGCATGAATGAAACCCATGAAACAAATACACTGTTCATGACCACATTATTTGAACCACCCTGCCTGTTAAATCATCATCATGTCATAATCCCCTCTCCTCACCGCAGCACAGATTCCTGATGTGTTGCCCAGCAATCCACAGCATGAGAGTAAAGATCAGATGTTAGTCGAACCTAAGCCCTCTGACCTGTTCACACTCTCCAGGCCAGAGTATTTAAGGACACTGTAACATGTAAACTGACTGAATCGTGGGTAAAAAAGTAAAGCTTAGGAAACGTCCTCCTTGAAATATCAGGAAATCTGAAGATATATCACCTTTCTAAAAAAAGATTTCAACCAGGTATGTAAACACCACGCAGCTGACAGTGCATTCAACAGGGACTGAACAAATCTCTAAACCATCTGAGAACAACTTTCCTCCAACTTATCCTTAATGGATTTTTACAGGAAGCTATCAAGTTTATAAAACCTGATAATAAATATGGATACAATGTTTTAAAGAAAGTGAAGGTGATGTGTTTGAAGCAGCATTGGGATCATGGGAGTTTCTGTCTTCATCACCATTGCCGATGAAAATGTATCTGAAGCCACCCAAGTGCAAATCCTGTTCGCAAAATAGGTAACGTACAAAAGTTGTATTCATTTAACAGAGCGAACAGCAATGAATGATCCATTACAAGTGACCAATATAAACAATTAACTGGCTAACATATGTCTAGTTGTTTTTCGATATTTTAAAGAAAAATTGTGAATCCTTTATGTGGACAAGGCTGAGAAACTGTCACTTCCCTCCATCATTGGTATTCACAGGTCAAGAGTCTATTTCGGTCTGTGCCCTATACCATAACTCAGCCATTACATAACAGTGCACTTCCTTACAGCGTATCTAACAATGGTTTCTGCCCAGAGCTGTTATGTTGCCCATATCTATTGAGTTATAGTTGTATTAGTTGGTCAGCATGCATGAGAGCACACTGGACTGATATCAGCCCACATGCAAGGCCGGTCGAGCAGGATTCAGGTTTTTAATCCTTAGGTGTGACTGAGGGTTGATGAAAGTGACAGACAGAAGAAGGAAGGTTACTGGTTGTCAATGAGGCAGCAGAGCAGGAAAGAAGATCATGTGACTGTGATGGAGGTGAACTTGATCAGTTGGATTGGGGGGGAGATGGTGTTAACGGGATGGTGGTTGTGGGGGGGGTAGCGCTTTCCTGTGTCAAAGACATGGATTGATGAAGGCAGGGCATGACCCCTCCATCCTCCTCCTCATCTTCCTCCTGCTCCTTACCCTCTGCTGCTGCTGCTGCTGGTGGCGGAGGTGCTGCTGCCCGCAAAGTATCTGCTGCTGCTGCTGCTGCTGGACTGGTACTGGCTCATTTTAGATGCCATCTCCTTGTTACGGTAGCCACGGTCGTAGTGACGGTGGTGCTTCTGGTAGAACGGTAAAGATCCAGACATGGTGCAGGCCGCTCTTCGCACAAGCCCTGAGTTTCCGAGTTCACTTATTTGTTTGTCTGTCTGGTGATTTGATGTTCAAGAGCAGGTGGATTTATAGTTACTATACTGTTGGCTCATCGTGACTTACAGACTTTTTTAACAAACTGGCTCCATTAAACATGCCAGGAAAATATTCCATCGAAAAATTGTATAATAGCCCCTTGATCAAAAAAAGAAAACAACAAGAGACATGAAATTTACTTGCAAAGATTTTTGCAAGGGAGATTCAGGCAATCAGGCACATTCTCATCATGCTTACACAGACATATGAAACAACCACAACCTGCCTTATCACACCTTATCCCTGCACAGCCTGTGCCACACTTACCCCAGACGAAACCCTTCAGACTCAAAAGCTTTAAAGGAAAATATTGTCCAACTCCACACTTCAAGCTCGATATCCCAGCAGACCTACAGGTAGGTGCGTACAGGGCTGTGGTCTACACAACAAAAATAATATTGGCCCCTGCCAGAGTGTCCAGCAGCAGTCGCAGCCTTGTATGGTGAGGGTGGAGATATATATAGCTGGGAGCAGAGCTGGGGGGCAAGTCAGCTCCAGTAGTGCAACGCATTTATGGGTGAGGTTCTCTGAGACTGATATACAGGTAAACACAGGGTTAGTTTGTAGAGGTATTTAATCTTTTAATCTCATTTTAGGTCTTTTTATCCTGTTGTTACCTGTTGTTACCTGTATGATATATAAATATCAAAGGGTTAGATCAGAATACAAACAAATACCTCAATGTCCAGCCTTATAAGGGCCGGTGAGCAATTTTATTTCATTTATATTTAATTCAATATATGTTATTGTCCATAAAGGCCTCGCTGACGTATAGACTGAGGTTTAACCACAGCAGTCTCAGCTGTGGCGGTTGCTAACTTTAGCTATGCTATTGTTACTTGCTTCACATTCAACAAATGCCACTTACTGTTTCTTTGTCACTCTCTCTTTCAGTCTCGCTCATTTGTGAAAGTACACAAACGTCCCCTCTTGTGGCTTCTGCTCATTAGCAGCTACTGAAAGGAAAAGTGGAAATTAACGAAAGACTCATGATCCACTTGCAGATGTTTGATTCCAGTTGTTATAAAAGCACAGACTTCATAATACATGGCTGAAAAAGTGATTAACTACCAACAAATGAGAATATGGAGTTTCACAAGTTAAATAAAGTTTGTTAAAAGGATGTTTGGCAGTAGATAAAAATCAAATCACCACAGATGTTTTGCCTATTGTTCTGGAAATTGTCTGCAACAGAAACGTGGTAATTTCCAAGCCAAAGAAATGCTGAACCTTTCGGAGGCATTTTTGGTCCCCACCCACCACCTCCATCCCACACGATGATCGGCATGACAACATAGTTATGATGTTATGGCAGCAGTCTGAAGTGTAAGCTCATTAAAAGAGATCAACAGCGAGGGGAGCTAAAACGAAACATGAAGCAGGGTCAAAACAAAAGGTGCTGGCTGATATAAAATGGAATCAAATGGAATATAATGTCAAGCTACTCAATCATTTGCCAACATGACTATACTAGACCACAGCCGGAAAGTGACAGGGACATAGCTTGTGTCCAGTTGACTCTATAAAAGCCTGTATGTGTGATTCAAATGCATAAAACCAAATAAATCAATTGCCATTGCTCTCTGCAGGGAAAGTTTTACAATGGATGGCTTTAAACTGCCTCCTTTAGTTTAATTAAAAGTAAGCGTAAAATTCCTTTATGTATTAGCTGCATAAAAATGGTTTCTAAATGCAGTGATAGTGAAATTGACACAATAAAAAAGTTAATCCCATTAAATATATTTATATCTTAGTACCCTGTCTGGCACAAAGGTACAGTAACCAACAGGATTAATGAATGAATGTCAAAGAATCCCACACGGCCTCTGTAGCTTTTATCACAAACATCTTGGGCTTTGTGCTGATCTGACTTTAAGCCCCAATAACTGAACAGCTGCCAATCACAGCTCATATAGTTGAGTCACTTCCATGAAACTCTGCAGTTCATAAGAAAACCTCAGGTAGCCAAAATATCTTCGCTGTAATCTGATAACACAGACACCTAATGACCTTATCCACTTGTATCACAGGGTATTTGAGGAGTTTAAATCTATTTTAGCAGTAGCGCTCTACCAATGTCCACAGGAATATCATCACCTATATTCAGTTATTGTTTTATAACAGCAAGTGCATCAGTTCAATCTAAAGCACCCTGCAACTGTAAAGGCCTATAATGAGTGGCCAAAGGTGTAAGGTTTGAGACGATACATGGTAATGGGATTGTAATACACTGCATGAGAGGTTCTTCTAATATTCTGTCCAATCCCACCTGGTTTGGTTCACTCCAAATCTTCTCCAAGTGCATGTAATGAATCTTGTTCATGTTCGCAGTTATGTTATGTTATGTTATGTTCAGCTGTCCAGGAAATTCCAACTGTGTGGCAGCCTCAAGGGATCTATCAGGACTATTTTAAGTTTTGTTTTGAATCATTTCCTTGCACAGTTGCTGTATGAACATTTAAGTTAACAACTGTAGACATAAAGAAATTCACTGAACACACACAGGAGAGACAATCTATCCATTAGCTCAAGACTCTGCCTCTGTAACACTGAGTTAATGAAAGGTTTCCTGTAAAACTAGCACACTCTAGTGGTTTAATGGAGCACTACAATATCAAAGGATGTTTACCTCTGCCAACGAGGTTCTGTTTTCACCATTATCTACACAATCATGTGTAGGATTGTTGGGCCTTGACGAAGATATGTGCTCTTCTGAGTGCTTCTATTTAGTAAATGCAAAGAAGTAAAGCAGAAAAGGTAAATGTGACTTAATTCATTTAATTTGGGCCTTTGAGAGACAAGACAAATACCAATAACAATTTCTAGTTCTAAAGTCTTATTTCAAACTGTAAACTTCTATTGTATCCTTCAGAAACACCACTTCTGATGTTTTCTGACTGTGCAGCTTTCGACCTAATCTGTTTGTTTAACTATAAATGGCTCGTGGCTTATGTTCAACAATGTTCTTATCGACTTTGAAAGTGATACTGGACAGAAAGACAGATGTAGCTTGTTTTAACCTGTGAGTCAACAGTTCCACATCTTGCTGTTGAAGCCCTGCAGCAATAAGCCTCTCTTTGCAGTAATGACCTGGACACCAACTGTTGTCTGACCCACACTGGGCCGTCAGTATCTATTATTACCCATCCTATCAACATTTTTAACTTATTGTTTTGCTTTTAGTACGCGAGGGTTGTCATCATTTATTACTTTTAGGCCTGTCGGGAGTATGGATGCAGATGAACTGACAGTAACAACATTTATATTTCCTCACTCTTATATCATAACACTGTCTTGAGCAATAAAAGTTATTGATATTGACATCAGGGATGCTGAGCCTCGTAATAGCTAGTATCAGATCCAAACCAAATTCTGATGTCACCTCTTGCAAATCTGTTAAATAATAAGACAAAATAACATTAAAACTATAATTCTTATATATATTAATCAGATATTCTGATATTATTCCTATATACATTTATCGGAGAGATTGGGATTATTTGCAGAGACTGGTATATTTGACAACATAATAAAATGGGTCAAAGTAAACAGTAAAATTATAAATGTATTGTTTTATTGATGGTACAGCCTGTTCATTCCCATTATTTGAACTGTACCTTCTCTTAATTGCACAATACCAAGTAGGATGTGTTCTTTCTCTCCTTAAAAGGGCAAATCCAGGAATGTCAAGGGAGCGTTTGTGGACGTTACATTTACCCCACCAGGGGAGCGGAATCCGCACTGTTTGTTTTATCACTGCTGATACTGAACTATTAAGACACGTTTTCTGAAATGTGGTGCAAAATAACGTGTTTAATTGCAAAAAAATAAGATAGTAGTGAGGGGTGAAATGCTTTTAAAATAAGTAATAATGGTTTTATATTCGATAAACACCCCTACTTTGCCGCTTTGGTCTGCTCCGCAGTTGTGCGCGGAAGCCAACATGAGGATGAGGAAGTGAAGGGCGGTGGTTGAGAAGACGAACAGCACCAGGCTAGCTGACATTTCTGCTCGTAGTCAGGTAAGAACCGTGTTCCGACTGTTTTCTGTCCTTTACACAGCAGTTAGCTGAGTTACTAATACTCTTCCACCACCACACACCGCACACACCGGTGATGTTACAGAGGTTTACGTGGATAAGATGCTATTCTGCTCTTTTTGAGTGCTCGCTTGATAGCGTTGAAAACACGGCTAACTGTTAGCTGCGCGGCTAAGTGCTCGCTAGCTAACGTAGTGATTTCAAATCGACAGCAAACCAGCGGTTATGTTACAGTAAAGTTCAAGTTTAGCTTTCAAGTCAATTTAAACCGAGTCACGTTTGAATAACGAGCTGCCGTTCACACACGTATGAACACGGAATGTGTATGAAGCTGGGCCGCGAACCACCGGGGCTGTGTACGTACTTCATAATGAGACAACGTAAAGTTTATCTCTTCGTTTTAACGTGAAGATCAATCGGTTTTGGGGAAAGTTGGTTACAGACTTTAACTGTCGGTGAAGTCCACAAGTAATAACAATGATAGAAACGTTATATAGTAAATCGATTCTCAATAAAGTGGTTAAACAAGTACATTTCAAAATGCTTCTCAAAATATTTACTTTTGGTCTGATAGAAATTCAACGCATGGCTTAAAGGCAAGTAAGCTTGAAACCAGTATATGTTTGACTTTTCTTTACATAACACTGAATTTAAAAAACCAAACATTATCAGCAAAATCATTGTTATTGACATCTACTTGTCTGTTCAAAGTATAGTAATTTTACATTTTGAGAAAAACTGAATTATCAGCTTTCTGCTGTTGTCATTAATAGATAGCTTGAACTAAAAGAGCCTTTATGGCTTCGAAGATCCTGTTACCAATATTTATCTAACGATCAGTGGACAGCAAAGTATTCAACAACAATCTTTTTAATTAGTTTGTTTAGTTGCAGCCCAAATTCAGATTTGTATTACTGAACACACTTCTCAGATAACATCGCTGCATTAACACATGGCCCAGCTCTACATAATCCCTGCTATCCTAGATGGTGGAGTCTTTTTTCCATCAGCGCTGTGTAGCTAAAACACAGGTGTCTGTCAAAATAAAGTTTTGACTGTTGGACAGTAAAAATCTACATTCAAGACATTGCCTGATAAGGACATGTGTCCTCACATCAGTAACTATCCTGCCATCTGTTAGGTCATTTTCTCGCCCTCTGTGAAGTCAGTGAGCTGATCAACCTAGAAAGATGAAGAACATTCCCATTTATAGCTCAGTAAGAGAGACACCACTCTGGGGAATCACTGCCAGAGAATTAAATGACTGCCACCGAGTTGTGGGCCTGGATGACAAAATATTATTCTGGGTAACAGCACGATCCACTTTACTCTGGATCAGATCGTCTCCCTGCCTGGCATGTGTACTGTCAACTTCTGTCTCATGGGGCCAGGCTTATACTTTGTGGATGTTTAAGTCATTGAGACAAAATAGGGCTACGACTAACAGCTGTTTTCTTTTACTGAAGTGTATAGAATTTTTTTACTATCCCATTGTACAACAAACAGTAGAATAATTGGTATTTTTCTTTTGCTTTGTGTAAACTTGTGTGAGCCATTAATTCCTCTCAAAATGAGGCTCAATGATCATTTGGGGAAATTTAATTGGACACTATCTTGTGATAGAATCTCACCAGCTGCAACATCCCTCAACTTGATGCTATCTAACCCATGATTACTCTGCAGTTGATAAAACATTATTACATGACTGTTTGGTATTCCTGGGTTGGACAACAGCCATCTGCACTGTCACTGTGATTAAAATCTTTCTGCGTGCAGACATGCGCACATACCACACAACACACACCTGCTAGAGAACTGAAATCCGCCTTTTGTTTCTGTCCCAGCTACAGTTGGTGTCTTCCGGACTCTCATTGACACTGTTATTAGGTTTTTGTTGGTCTTCTTTAAGGAGTGTGTCCCCGGTTGTAACAGGATATTTTTTGTGATTTTTCACAGGAACAAAACAGTCAACATGTCGAGCAAAAGAGCAAAGGGAAAGACCACCAAGAAGCGCCCTCAGCGCGCTACTTCCAATGTCTTCGCCATGTTTGACCAGTCTCAGATTCAGGAGTTCAAAGAGGCCTTCAACATGATCGACCAGAACCGTGACGGGTTTGTCGACAAAGAGGACCTGCACGACATGCTGGCCTCGCTGGGTGAGTGGGAGATTCTTTCCTAACATTAAGATTAGATGAAAATAAGATCAAACATGTCGGTGTGAAGCTGTTAGGAAAAGTCATTCTTGAAGGACACTGATATGGTTTTTCATCAGTTGTTAAATTAAAAGCAGCACTGCATTTATAAATGCTCAAACTCAATTAATTTAACTTAACCTGTTTATTTTTACAGGTAAAAATCCAACTGATGAGTACCTGGAGGCCATGATGAATGAAGCTCCCGGACCCATTAACTTCACCATGTTCCTCACCATGTTTGGAGAGAAGCTCAATGGCACAGACCCTGAGGATGTGATCAGAAATGCATTTGCTTGCTTCGATGAGGAGGGGACAGGTAAATATATATCAATTAACCCTTTTCTTCCATTTGTATAGCCTGTGGTGTATGTTAATATATAGATGGTATAAAATGTAAGCAGGAAAGTAGCAGATTTACTAAGTGTAATGCAGACAACTTGCCTAAAACAACCCAGCTGTATAAAGACAAACGAAGTGTAATTAAATCATTGTCAACAAAAGACATCTCTTCAGGAGAAGATCAGTCTTATCTGTTCTCTCTGTTTCCCTCTTCAGGTTTCATCCAGGAAGATTACCTCAGAGAGCTGCTGACAACAATGGGTGACCGGTTTACAGACGAGGAGGTGGATGAGCTCTTCAGGGAGGCCCCCATTGACAAGAAAAACAACTTCAACTACGTGGAGTTCACACGCATCCTAAAGCACGGTGCCAAGGATAAGGACGATTGAAGAGCCACACCCGCATTTACCTCCTCACCCTCTTCGCCTCTTTCCATCAGCTAGATGACCGTGCTGCATGTCTCAACTCTCCAGTATAGAACCCTTTCAACCAAAGCAATAACTATCCACTCTCTTTGTAGTGAACTTCGAGTGTTGCCAAATTTACACGTCTCTAATTAGAAGAAAATATTCTAACATGTTTTGAAGCGGTTTTTTTCTTCTGTCATTTAAAAGTGTGAAGTGGCAGCACTTTGGAAGCTCTTGGGGGATAAGTCTTTGCAATTCATGTGATCGGGTATAGCTGAATTTTTACATTTTATAATATAAACTTTTTAAATAAAGCCCTCTATCAAGTTATATTCTGCTGACTGTTTCCCTTCCATAAACGACAACTGAAATAAGTGTTGCATTACTCTGTCTTTTTTTCCCTTAAATGCTCAGGCTAAGTTCTTCAGGAGCTTGTCAAGTCATGACAAGTCAACTCAGCCTTTAGAAAATGTATTGAGCGTGTGCAGACGAGCAGCAGCTGAATTCCTCCTCTGAAAGGGAAACTTCAGAGTTAAAAACTACGACTTGCACAGAAAACAGGAGTGTATTGTTGTGGCATATTTAAACATCTTTGACAAGGGAAGTGCCCAAATATGATTGGCTGTATGTGGCGGTGACTCATTTATGTCATACAGGATGTGGCCTGGTGTAATGAAAAATATTTTAAAAGCTGACGTGTGAAGACACAGAGCTGTAGCAGACAAGCATAATGAAATTCTCCTGGCTGATGACTGCATCAGGCCCATGTTGATTCAACAGAATTTCCTGAGGTCATGTTTTACTTTGAATGCCAACAAAGTCTAATCTTACAGAGTACGTGTCTCAGCTTGAGACTTTAATCTGCTCTACAAGTACAGTCCCTGGGTTCTCTTTTTGGAATGACAAAGATCTTAAATTAGATAAGGATAACACTTAAAAGCTAGTTAGCTTTTATAAGCAGTATCTTTATTTACAAATTCTACATGCTTAATTAAAGTATTTAAAAGCAAATACAAGTTCTATCTTGTACGAGTTTCTTGAAGACAACTCACTCTCATCCAAGAGGCTTTTTCAGTTCATAATACAAATATCTTTCTCATATGACAACACATTTAAGTGTTTTACTATAGAGTCATTATCATGTTGATCTCTACAGGGGGCGTTAAGAAATAGCTATAATAAGTACACTAAATGAAACTGGCATGGAAATAAGTGCTCATACATTAAATTTATGTTTCATTATTTTGTTATGTAGTAAATGAATAGCCAAACAGTCCTCTTATGAAACCACATTTAAGTGTACAAGATTCAGATTTTTATTTGGATCTACATCAAATTACACACTCATGAATTTCAGTCCCTAAACATGTCTGATTTTGGGAAAACAGCATCAAATAAAAAACAAAACTCCTGGATCTGCACCAACATTTTCTATTTCATGGATTCAAAACATATAAAACATATAAAACAATCATTACATGGTTGTAAGTGTTTTTATTGAAGACTCTCCTCACGTGACCTTTACAGGCGGAAGGAAAACAGGGGTGATGCCTTCCAGTTTTGTTGGAATATTGAAATGACTTGAGAATATGCTTTGTAGCTAAAGATTGCAATAATCAAGCATACTTCTTCCTGTAGTGAAGGTCGAACATTGTCTGCGTGTCTGGAAGGAATTTATCTTTTGATAGCCACATTTGATTTTGATTTCAAAAAAACTATCCTGCACGAGGTTTGATTTCGTCCACTTACGAAACTACCTGTGTACAAACTAACCACATGCCCCTGAACGCCTCTCGGTCTTCACTGAACCACGCTCGTTTGGTTTCCTGTCTGCTGCCGGTTCTCTCACACGGTCCCGCTGCTGGAAAGGTCCAGGTATGAAGTTCACTGACCCCGTGTTGTCACGTGTGGTTTTATTTATCACACCAATGTCAACGTTCAATCATAAAACACGAGAATTAACAAGAAAAAGTGCGGATCTCATCTGCTAGCTAGGGCGCTAGCGGCTAACGTTAGCTAACAGCATCCCTCAAGGTTGATTAGTTAACAGGAGAAATGGAGGAGGAGGCTGACTTCTGTCATTGCTGATCTCTATTTCACTTATAAACTGTCTTCTAACCATGTTGAAAACATTTGTGAAACTGTTGTTGTATTTATAAACGGTTTGTTGTTGTTGTTTTTGAATCAGCTGGTCCTGAGGGCTCCTGGACCAGGGTCTCAAGATGATCCGGAGACTTCCTCTGCTCATTCAACGTGTCCCCTCCACCCGGCTCCTGAGATCCAGCAGTGCGGGTCAGCCCTCATGTGTCGCCTGCCCGTGCAGCAGAAGTCCGGGCAGCAGGCAGCTCCAGCCGAGGTGTGGGATCAGGAGCCTCACCACCACCATCATCAGGGAGCCGTCCTTTGTCGCCAGCAGCTCTGTAGGACTCCACAGAGATTCAGAGATCCCCCGGCTCCGTCTGACCCAGCTGCACCGACCCACCGATGCAGAGGAGCGGGCTTTCCGGCAGCGTCTGGACAGCTGCACCTCCTCCAGGCAGGTCCTCAAGCTGCTGCGCCCGGTGGAGATCTTGTCTGACACCATGGCTGCTGCAGCGCTTCATCGGGTGGCCGACTTGGAGCAGGAGGGAAAGTCACTGAAGGACCCCACCGTGCTGGAGAAGGACATCATCAAGGCCCTGTGCCTTCAGCTGGAGCAGGACAGCGGGCGGCTGACGGATGCTGGGCTAGTATCAGCTCTCCTGGCCTGCACTCGCCTCTTCCTGGATCCCTGGAGCACTCTGATGGTGGGGCTGGTGTCTGAGAGCCAGGAGAGGCTCGACAGGGGGAATATGAGTATAGATCAGCTGTGTACCTTAGGCCAGGCAATGCACGCCATCGAGGGTCCTGGTTGTGTGATGTTGGAGCAGGTGATGGAGGACATCCAAAAGCAGGAGCCTGCCCAGTGGAGGATATCAGACCTCATTGCAGTTTACAGGCTTCTGCAGGGTGGTGTCGGTGAAGATGGCAAATACAGAGACCTGTTGAATGCCATGCACACGCATGCTCTGAGTGTCACCTCCCGCATGGACCCTTCTGCTGTCAGCAGGCTGCTCAGTGCTCTTGTGACCTTGAACCAGACTCAGGTCATGCCTCTAGTTATCAATCTGTGTAAGCAGGCTGTGAGGCATGTACCTCACTTCACTGATGAGGAGCTCACTCTTGTGGTCGGGGCGCTAATGTACTTTGGTCACAGCGATCATTATTTCGTTGTGGCGCTGGAGAGGTATGTCCCTACCATGGCATTTGCCTCCCCCCCAGAGACAGTTACCAAGGTGATGCAGTTCTTTAGCCAGAGGAACATCCTCTCCCCGACTGTGTTTGACGCCATCGCAGAGAGCTTTGTGTACCGAGCAGACGAATACAGCACCAGCCAGGTGGCCAGGCAGATCATGGCTTTTGGGAAGCTAGGATACCTCCCGCCAAACGCAGGCGAGGTGTTCAGGAAGGTTGAAACCATCCTGCACACGCGCTTTTCACACTTCCAACCTCGAACACTGCTCAACCTGCTCCACGCCTGCGTCCTGGTGGAGAGGTTCCCAGTTAATTTTGTCTCGAAAGTCTTCAGCAGTTACTTCCTGCAGCAGCTACAAGGTGAAACACCCCGACAGGCACCTGACACATGAGCGCAAGATTAGAGATTTAAAAAAAACCATTGTTGACTTGTATGTTTGTGTTTATTTCTGTGGCGTAGATCAAGGCACAGGGATCGATCGGATTGTCCTGGCACAGCTGACTCAGCTCTACTTGACTGTGAAACTGGAGTGTCCTTTCTATCAGGTAAAGTATTTTAAATTATGTGAAGGGTTAAATATGACCAATGGATGAGCAGAAAGCTTAAAACACCCCCTCTGGCTGAACATGTACGTGAGGTTCAGTGCGTTCCAGTTGACCGTGATAAACACCAACCAACAACTAACAGATATCAACTTATCTGTGGTCAAAATTGGAATATAATGAGGATTTTCTTTTTTAAGCATTTATTATCAAGTCATGCTCATGCAATATAATTTGTGCTACTGATACCAGTTATACATGCAGTATTCTTTAACAGCAGAAAAATGGTGCCCTGAATAAAACAACATTTACATATTTTCTACATTTAAAATATAGGTATTCACAATAAAAGTTGATGGGTGCACAATGTTGACCATTTTCCTGTCACATAAGGTGAAAAAACAAGTCTAAAGAGGACAAGAAATTGTCTTTGCTTGTAATGTAAACATCTATATGCCCATACTGATTTGTTTTCAATTTGAGATCCAGAGGTACCACCAGTATAGGAAAGTTGTTTCTCTTGGTTGTGTCATAAAGAGACATTAAAATCTGTTGTCTCATGTGAACTATATTTATGTGTTGATTATTTTCTTTATCAGGGTCCCACGCTTCTTCCAAAGTTCCGTGTCAAGTCTTTCCTCATGTCTGATCGATCCCTGGAGACGCTCGTGGATGGACATCTGTATAACTCGGTGAAAACTGGCCTGATCGAGTTGCTCGGGGCTCGTTCATACTTTGGATCCAAAGTTCTTACGCCGTACTGCTACACACTCGGTAACAGACACAAAACAGCCGTTAATCTTCTCAATGTTCCCTCAGTTTTATCTACAAATCACTTAATGTTTATTCCGTTCTTGTAGATGTGGAGATTAAACTTGACGAGGAGGGATTTGTGCTGACTGCCAGTCAAACTGACGATGTATACAAAAGGTAAATTGTGTATGGTCACTACGCACAAGTTTTTCATGTATCACATGTGAAAGTGCTGGTGTTAATCTTTTTGACTGGCGTGTGATTGCAGGATAGCTCTTTGTATTGATGGACCAAAGAGGTTCAGTACAAACACGAGGCACCTGCTGGGTAAAGAGGCCATCAAGCAGCGACACCTGAGGCTTCTGGGATATGAAGTTGTTCAGGTTAGACCCTCACAGTCACTTTTATGTTTTAGAGTCATCTGTTTGTTTTCCTCAGAAAGAGTTCTGCCACATTTATATCTGCCCAAATGTTAGTTCTGGGTATTTTTATAATGCTAAGAGGCTCAGAAGTGCATTTATCAGTTAAATGTGAACTTGCTTTATCTTTTTTTTTTTCTAGATTCCTTACTATGAATTTGATCAACTACAAAGCATGACCAGCGTGGTTGAGTACCTGCACCAGAAGATCTTCCCTCACACTTACAGGCTGAGCTGGTGATGACATAAATGACTTTGCTGCAGATGTGACATCACAAATTGTTGCTTTTTTTGGAGCTTTTTCTTATTAAAATAAATCAATATTTGTTTTGCTGATACGTAGTTGCCAAATGAAGGTGTTTAAGTTATTGATTCTGCATATTGACATATTTATCTTTTTTAATAAATATACTTTTGAGTAAATATTGACTTTTGAATGACTCGAATGCATCACACCAAGTGAAGTACGGCTTGAAAAATATAATTTATTTGGTTCTTGGTGAACACGAGCTGCAGAGACTGTACAAAGAGAGAGAGAGAAAGAATCCCAGTTCCAACAATCACTGTAGATACATTTGAAAGAAGCTCATTAGTAATGAATAATCAACTGTTATTTAGGAAACCTGATTCCTGTTGTGATTTTCCATCATTCCTTGGACAGTAGATGCTTAAGACTGCCCTCTAAAGGCTGAGAGTGTCATTTGGATAAATACAAAAAAAGGCTATGATACATATAAAACCAGCAAGAGTGCAGCAATATCTTCTTTATACAGCAGGAATCTGAGGAAGGCCAAACTCGTCCACCAGAACACCATCCTGTCAGAAAAAGAAACGAATATTCATCAATAAAGCCAAGCTGTTGTTAAATGATGTGAAACTGAAATATCTTAAGACTGTGACGTACCCGGTTAGTCGACTTGTCGCCAGGCAGACCCTCTGGGATGGAAGGAGCTGTCGCGGCGTCGTCCAGGTAGGAGCTGTCATCGTCCATCAAGAACTCGTCTCCCAAAGCATCCAGCTCTGTGGACACAGCAGTGTAAGGTTCCATTATAAAATGTCTACCACTAAAGACATGATATGATACCCGACATTTGCATAATGCATTCCCATTGTCTAGTCTTGCACGCTCTCTAACAAAGCCAGGTAAAGTGAGAGAGGAGGCCGACATTTTCTACACATACTGAAAGCATGAAGTGTGTTGACGTTTCATCAGGGGACAGCAGTGTCTATGAACTCCTTATAAAGTACCACGATACAAATATAACAAAGCTCCATTGTTAGCACCCCTGCAGCTTTGGACTCAATAATATAGTTATAACTATGAAGAGAAACAGTTTTTCCTGACCTGCTTCCAAGTCGTCTTCATCAATGTCAGGTGTGCCATAGCTTCTGCCCAGTGCCTCCTGGATATCATTGGCGTCCTCCATCATATCCTCCAGCTGATCTTGGACGTCCTGAATATGAAATGAAAATAAAAAATTCATGATTCTCTTTCATTCACCGGCTCTGTGGAAAAAAAATCAAATATTTTTTATTGTGCTGAAAGTTGAACAATTTTAAGTTCAACACAAACAATGTTTTATTATCACAATAATAAAATGTTGTGGTTATAAGCTTCAGACCTAAGGGTTATAATAGTATCCTATACCATAGGTATACTTCCTATCCTATGCGAATGGTCAAAAACCATTACCTCAATCTGATCAATGTTCACTTTCTTGTACGCTTTCTTCATGTCTTTGAGGCCGATTTTCATGGCATCAACCTACAAAGAAAAACAGATGTTAACAAAAATTGAAGTCATTACTCTTCAACACGTTATTTAGTTTTCTGGATTTAAATATAATGTCTCTCACCGTGGTTTTAGTGTCTTTAAGGGACTGGATTGTGTAGTTTGTTTGTTCCATATTGAACGACTGCTGCATCAGGTTATCTTTCTGACTCTCATACCTGGTGGAGACAAAGATAACATAAAGTTAGGCCTTGACGATAGCTGGAACAGGGAACCTAACCCTGAGGTCTTTCAAAGTAAGGTACTTACATCCTCTTCTGCTTCAGAACTCTCATTGCCTTTTGCTTGACCATGTTCTAATAGAGGAAAATTAATGAAAGCACTTAGTAAAAATTTTAATAATAAACAAAATAAACATGACAGTACTGCCAAAATGTTTTCCTAGCACAAAGTAACAGAAGATGTCACATTCACAGATTTACTTATTCTTTGAGAATGAAACTAGATAATAAGTTCTTTGTGTTTATTCTCTGCATGAAGTTGTTTTTCAGACGGTTTACTCTGGGCAAGGCCATGCAACAATGATGGCAACCATCACTTCCACCAAGTGACAGTAGCATACAGGTGTTAAAATGCATTATATGAGTTACTATGTTTTATTAAATTCACTGGTATCGTTATCAGTATCAGGAAGGAACATTTGCATGTGAATTCTCACCTTTGAGGGCCCGTCCTTCATCTTTTTCATCTGATCCTTGTACTTGGCAAGTTCAGCATCTAGTCTGGCAATCTTCTTCTCGACGGACTCCGCCCGAGAATCAACCTTAAAGTAGAAAACAGAACAGAGCATCAGCTTCTGTGGGGTGACTATTACCATCAGGCTCATTTTAATCAGGGTTTAGAGAGTTAATAAGTACCACGATGACTTTGCTATTTTTTGTGGGCTGTGCTTTTACAAACTAAAATCACAATTAAAGCTAATTAATCACCATTCTATACAATATGTCACATGTTTCTTCCTCTCCAGTAAACTCCAGACAGCTGACAATAGCTGCGGCCTGCCTGGTAACCTGTAGAACTGGTTGATGAGTGTGTGCCACCTCACTGACAGAATCAAATAGTTTCAGCTGTGTGGCTGTCAAGTGACTCGAATTCCTGCTCAGTTGCATAACATTGATTCCTAATGTGAACAGAAACACATTGTTTTCTGGAAACATCAGCTGATACATAAAGTGTAAAGGGAAACTCCTACTTGTTAGTATTGATTAATTACGACATGTTAAACTCGGTTATTTGGAGAAGAGGCAGGAACGAGTCGAACCCTCGCCTGGTTTCTGCTCTTAAACTCGGCTAACAGTTAGCTAACAGTTAGCTAGCAGCCGAGCAGGGCTCCATCTTTGTTTACTTTGCTCGAGACAGCGATTAAAACTCGTTAAAAACACGATACTTACGCTTCCTATGCAGTCAGAGAGGTTCGGCGGCGGGGCCTTCGGGGTTCCTCTGCCGAATATACGGTTCATTTTGGCGAAGTTAAGACTTTAAAAGTAGAAAAACTGCGGCGCTCGCTCGCTGTCACCGTCCGACTGAGGGACAACACCCGGAAGAGTCTTGTAAGTGACGTCAGAGGAGTCATGTGTTCGTTTCTCTCTCGGCCCCGCCCCCCTCAGTGCTCTGTTTACTCTGTCCAGATTTAATGGGTTTTAATTTTAAACGTGTTTATCTGCTTCAGCTTCAAATGTTTGTTTTGTCCGCGTAGTTTTACTGTTTCTGTTTATTCTACTATGGATTTCCTCCCATCCTGTGCTTGTACCAGGGCCCTGTACTTTGTAAAAGTATTAATATTCAGCCTAATTATTTGTTTTATTGACTTGATAACACAGTTGTTAGGTGTGACTGCCTTAGACTAGTAATACAACAGATTGAAATACTACCCTGGCTGCAGTGAGCCAAAGGTTAAGAATTGTGATAAAAGATTTATCCAGTATAGCTCAATAGATGATTAAACAATAATGATATGTTTGTATATGCAGCATTACAGACTCTTTTTTGCATTTCTTTTGAAATAGTTAGATTCACTATTTATATTAATATTTACATTCATTTATCACACTGAGAACTAGAACGGGGAGTACTACCAAATAAAAGTGTAAAAGTTTGGCTGAGCAATCAATTTCAGTGGATTCCATTGATAAATGTCCAGTTCACAGGGATAGGGAATCATGAATGTAGAAGCTGTAGTGAAGCTTCTGCAATCAGTTTTTCTTTTTTTAATTGGACCACATAGCTATAGTTATATCATTTTCTGTCCTCTGGAGGGAGCTGCTGTCATAGAGTATAAAATCAAATCTAAACCTGCAGAGGAACACATTCTATACAACCAAAGACTCTTCATTAAAACTCATTGCAATGCTGAAAATGAATTAAAAACAAAAACTGCTCAAAGCTTTTTTTTAATCACATATCAAATGGTAGTGAAAATTAGGTGAAAGTTAAATATCACTGTTGCCACACCACAGATTGAAACTGACAAGTTGATTGTGTCACAGTGAGAGAAGAGAATCAATGTGGATTTGTTTAACCGGTTTTAATATTGAGATCTTAACACACAGGATGTTTTGATCAATACATTGTTGAACCAGTAAAACACACTGACTGAAAAGAAAAATGATACTGACACCCTGGCCTTCTGTGCTTTATTCATCTTTATGCCAGTGGACACCTTGTGGCAAAAGGTTCATCAACAATTTGAAAAAGGTTTTATCTCAAGCTCTGGTTTAGCAACACGAGAGAAACTGTTTGTGTGAATTTATTTCCCACATGTTGTTAACTTTCTTCTCTAATGAGACAAATGAGTGTATTCCATGATTAAATATCAATTTTGTATAATACATAGTCTATTTGCAATACATTCAAAAATACAGCACGGTCCATCGAGCATATAGGCAGCTGATGTTGCATTTACTATCATAGCAATGGTTACTGACATGCTACAAATACAGTTTATCTCAGTGATTTTGTGCAAAGATTTTCTTTTCTCATCTATACAAAATAATGCATCATATACATAATTATAATGCTGTACACTGGACAGAATAAACTGGATCAACTTGGTAAACAGATATTCTTGTTTTCAGATTGCACTCATGGAATATGTGTCTACAATAAAAGCATGAGCATATAGGACTATGCGTATCATGGTAAAAGCCATACACAGCACACGTGATTGAATTATATATATAATTGAACAACTTATCCATCTGGACACAACTCCAGAGTCAAAGCTGATAGAGAGCCCTCTGTCAAATTTTAAATGCACATTCAAGTCCAGGATTCACCCACTAACGTTTCTGCTAATTGTAAAACTCTCAATGATTTCACAAGCTTTTGGCACAGATCTGCAGTCATGGGATTCATACGACCACCACAGAGATGTTATCTGTGTAAAAAACAACATTTTATACATGTACTTTTCAGTAATCATCCCTGAAATCATTTTCCGCTGCTACAAATATCTTATCCTGGACTATCAAAGGCACATTTGGTCATAGAAAAAGAATATAGGTGGAAATGACAGGAGGAGGAGAGAGGTGTGAAGAAAATGCAGCTGAAATAATATATATATCAAATTATATTCTTCTTAACTATTATGTTCTGGACATGCAACTTTTTGGGGGGCAATTTCTCACTCATAATTGTCAGTAGCAACTCTTTAGATTGTTTTTCTTGAAATATGATTAGTCAAAAAAAACTTCAAAATTTGTGAAAATGCCTGTTATCATTTCCCTCGGCACAAAACGAAGCCTTCAAATGTCTTTACAAAATGTTTGAACTTGAACCATTAAATAGTGGCAGATCTAATAATCAATCCGTCCATTTATTGTTATAGTTCAATACACCATATTCTTAATCTTAGGAAAGAAAAAAGTTTCAATCACATCTGGTCTTCTTTTCCTGCATAAACAACCCCTCCCCCTCTGTAAATCCACCTGAACATTTGAATAATAAATACACACAATCTTCCACGAGGAAGTCAATTGCTTCGAGAGGCTAAAGTCAGAGCAGAGGAGGATGATGAGGTTGTTTTCATGCAGAGCAGGTCTGTGGTTTTAATTCTATGTGGATTCATGGGAAAGATTAAATACAATATATGATTTGAAACTTTCATTGAGCACTGAAATGAAATCACCAATGTTGGCACTGATTAAACTTCAGGAGATGAAAATAAATCCAGTCAGCCTTTGCAATAGAGTCATAAATTCTACATGGTTGATGTGATGTGGGTTAAGCCCAGGTCGTGTGAGTCTTCTTTTCCGATGTGGGAAATTGAAGACAGTTCCACTGCTAGTCATGACGGTTTACTAGTCCCGTCTGGGTTCTCCAGGGGAACGGCGGCCTCCTGCACTGTGCTCGGGGCCTTTTTGCCTCCAGACACCCTCTCTCCTTTCAGTTTGGCCGAGAGGCAGAAGTCTTTGAAACACCGCTTGAAGTTCTCGTCCAGGAAGGCATAGAGCACAGGGTTGAGGCTGCTGTTGGTGTAGCCCAAAGCCACGCAGAAGAAGTAGGCGGCCATGATGGCGGTGGTTTCCGGCACACTGGCGAGCGCCTTGATCAGGATGAAGATGTGAATGGGCGTCCAGCAGACCACAAACACGGCCACCACCACCACCACCAGTCTGGTGATCCGGCGCAGGTTGCGATCTTTCTCGCGCGAGCCCGACAACATTCGGACGCTCTTCAGCCTCAGGACCATCAGGGAGTAGCACACAGTGATGATGAGCACAGGCACGACGAAGGCGAAGACAAACACGCAGACCTTCATCAGAGTGTCCCAGTACACGTACGGCTCCGGGAACTGTAAGGCACACTCAGTTACATCTGCAGGTGGAGAAGGAGGGAGGGAGACAGGGTGGGAGGGAGGAGGAAAATGTGAACTAAGTGATGAAGTGCACTTGTGCTTCACTAGAAATAAAATTCCACTCTGTGCCTTTCTATTATCAATTTAACAAGCTGGTATAAAGGGACTAATCTACGTTCCACAGGAAACATTTTGCTCGAAACAGCTATTTTCTAACACCATCTATATTCAGGAAGGGCGACGCGTGATGTGTGGCTAATGGGAAACTAATGGATGGACTAGATAGAATATATTTCTGCTTTTAAACTACTACTATTAACACATGCTTGAATTGGATGTCCAGAGCCTAGAATACAGACAGAACCCTCGAGGCTTTATCGGGTGGAGGGTGAAAGCACTTCCTCACCGCTGTTTGTTTGGGTGCCACCCAGAATAAACGCCGGAATCCCTGCGGCCGACGATAGAATCCAGATGCACACGTTGATCATCTTGGCTTTGATCGGAGTGCGGAAGTCCAGGGCTTTTACCGGGTGGCACACGGCCACGTAGCGATCCACGCTCATCATGGTGAGAGTGAAGATGCTGGTGAACATGTTGTAGTAGTCGATGGAGATGAAGACCTTGCACACGACCTCGCCGAAGGGCCAGGTGTTGAGCAGGTAGTCGGTGCTCTGGAACGGCATGGTGGTGGTGACGAGGGCGTCGGCGAGGGCCAGGTTGAAGATGTATATGTTGGTGGCTGTCTTCATCTTCGTGTACCTGCTCAACATGCACAACACCAGGTTGTCCTTAATTAGTGAGGAGAGAGAGGTGACGACAGCCAAACGTCCATCCAGACTTCCTGACTCTGTGGCGGACCTTGCTCATTATGAATTAAACATAGGCCATTAGTCCACACTGCTTCCTTGAATCAGTAATGTAATTTTTCGGACTCACGCTTCATTGTTATGTATAGCGTGCTGCTGATTGGAGGCCATGTGTAATCAACTGGTTTTCACTTCATTAAATTGTCACAGCATTAAAGCTCTGTGTGATGAATATTACCGAGATTAATTTAAGTTCTATTCAGCACCTTTCACACTGACACTAATCCTTCAGAATTAAAATTTGAAGTGGCTCTGTTACATAAAACAGGGCTCACAGAAAGTTCTGCATTTGTTGATTTATGGGAAACACAAGTGGATTAAAATCAATGATAAAAAATACTTCAATCCATTAATGTAATTCTCACATTAAACATTTTTAAGAAGTTTAAAGCCTCAAAAGTATTAGTTGACATTCCTGGAAATACACATTCATGTTCTGTTTTGGTCTCCACCTTCTCAGTGGCTAAGTGCTGCATGTTTTCACCATTATTTTCTGCAGATTGGTGCAGGGTGAGGGTTACACTAATGAGGGCAATGAGACTAAATCAAGTTGTAACGTTTATGTGTCCTCAAACCGAAACAATGAACTGAAAGATGCTAAAATGCTCTGTGGAGGTGAGGAACTCTCTTTGACACCCGGAGTCATTAGATTCATTGTTAACACAAAACATCCATTAGAGAAGTTTAAAGACGTACAACATGCACGGCCCTTCTACTAATGGCTTGATGTTCGATGTTTACATGGCCTATGTTGACTTTGCATGGGAGTAATATGTTTACACTTAGTCAACATGAACCT